CCCCCCCCCCTTTGGACCCTGGGGGGGCCCCCCCCCCCCGACTTACTTCGGGGGCCCATTTTTCTTTGAGGAGGTTTTTGAACATTAGGGCCCGGAGGGTGCGCATGTTTTTTTCTTGGAGGGTGGTTCTTGCGCAGTGCGCTTTTTTCACCCCCACCAACCGCGGGGGGTACGTGGGCTGTTGCCCCATGTTTTTCAAGAAAGTTTGGGCTGGGATTTGGTTGAGACGTGCGTGCGCGCGGGGATGGGGGGGGGGGGGGGGGCAGGGGATGAAGGGTTCTGGCAGGTTGCAGTCACCTCGTCGAAGCATGTTCTAATCCTGCACGTGATTGCTTTCCTTGAGGCTTTTGCAAAGACGCACATGTGATTGGTAGGTATTTCATAGCAAAGGAGGCAATGCACAGGCTTTGGGATCGACGAGACCTCTTGACGAGACTGCATATGATAGGATCGGAGCAGATAACATTGGATTGCTCCATGCCTGTAACAAGCAAACAAAATGGATGACGTGAGGAGGCGGAGGATGCCGTTCTTCGCCACAGCGGGGTAGTCCTTGGACTTTCAACCGTGCGCTTTTGAGATTTCGCCTCCGGCAAACTTTTCCCGTCTGTACACGCACAGCAATGTTAATGTTTACACAGGAAGCATTTGTTGTGACACAAAAAAAGAGTTCTGATCTGCGTCGCTTCTTGAGAATGTTCCCACAATCCTCGTATGGCGTTTTCGTTCGGGTGACCTGAAAGCATACCCAAATAGGGGAATGCGAAAACTTCGTGATTCCCGCACCTGTGGTGGATTCGTTCGATCGGTATTGGCGTTTTGGCCCGTACGATTTTGAGGGGAAAAACATCCGTATGCTAAGTACGAAAGTGTTGCACCGTGAGCAAAAAATAACAGAAGTCAACATGTGACGAGAAATTGTCCAGACAAAATAAACCATCGTTACGCCGTCGCCCACTGATGTCAAGGAACGAACTTACTTCATATAGACCAATTGTGCTTTTGATATATTCTCCTCGAAAGGCCTTGAACGTAGCGAGATGGGGGGGGGGGGTGTTGTCTAACGTCATAGTCCAAAAAATAGATAGGCCGCCCAGCGGTATCATTAGGCGTACTTTTCATTCCCTTGCGTATTTACGCTGTTCAGGCGCATCGCTGACCAAAGTGGGGGGCATCCCACGCCACCTGACCTATTGGGTAAGCGGAGGTGAAAATGCACGCAATCACGTTGGTGATTTACCCACTGGTGCGACCGCAGGTTCTGTTCAAAAAACATGATAGTCCTGGGTGGGCATCCATTCCCCGCCACTTCCTTTACAGCAGTTGCTGCGCATTAAAAACGATCATAGCAAAGCAACTCCGTCACGATTGAGCCACTGGATCAAGGCTACTGGAAGTGTAATCAGGCCATCGCCAAGCCAAAGGCAACGAAGCTACAGCAGTAATACCACCGTGGCCGGCATCAACGGCGATAGCGCGCCTGTCCGACAGTCATGTCCTCTACGCCTTTTCGTGGATAAATAAATCACCTTGCTTTCGCTGGTCGGCATCCGTGGACTGGGTGGCCGCGAGGGCTTGCCTCAAGACATTGATCTGTGCGGCTTCGTCGGACATGGTGGCTCCCGCACCCACAGGTTCAAGCAAAGCGCCAATCCTGAATCCCTCTGCGGCTATCTCGCTCCAAGCCCACTCGCAAACACCCAACGTCCAGAATAAGCCCCGCTCAAATACGGAGACCTCCTCTAGCAATCACGAGCAATCTGGGCTGCCGGTTCTCTCCCCGCCTCTCCACAGCAAAACAGTGCTGCTTCCGTGTGTGTGTGCTCGTTGTTTGGTTGTGTGGGCTCAGGGCGTTGCCTTGAGCGCGTGGCCCGCGCCCCGATCGAGTAGGGGGTCGACAGATGAGATGAACGTCACATGACCTGGGGCAGCGTATCCCCCCGCGGCCAAGAACCAAGAACCAACTCTCTGACGGTTACATTTTATTTGTGTGCATGTCTGACATCCCGACATCCCGACCATCGATCTTTCCCAGAAGCAAGAGAGATTAAAAGGCACTTCGTAGTTCCCACGCTTGGATCCCTGTCCCAAGGATGAAAAGATGGTGAGACACACTGGGGGTGCAAGACAACGACGCAGTGTCTGGTGTTCCCGTGTTTTTGTGTGTGTTCTTGTGTGTGTTTTTGGCTGGTTCCGTAGTGCCTGGTGGCAGTTGTGAAAAGATCGGATCCATCTCGATATGATTTCAAACCGTCAGCTTTAAAAATTAAACAACATATACCCTGATCGTCCGTATCACGTGCTATCCAACGCCCGCCCCTTTGCAACGCATCTAAAAGTATAGTGAAGCATATGGTAAGATCATGTCTCCTGTAGCCCTCAAGGATCGAGAGAATTGACAGGCGCATGCGGCGAGACTTACATAGCCCAACAGTGATGCGCACCATGTACCATCACATACCAATTATTTGCAAGTTCCAGGAGAGACGCTACCCTTTTACCATTGATACATTGATACATTGTAGAAATGGCATGATACACAAGCACTTTCGTTTGCTCGTTGTACGACTCTGTTGCCGGGTGCCCTCAGTGCACAAACCAGAACCTTGAGCTCTTCTCCAAGGCGCTCTACCCCATTCGCTACCTGGCATCGCTGTACCTGTTTATTGCGGGATGCATCATAGCGGGCAACATCCACCTTGCGCAAGGGTTCGGGCGAGGCATGACAGCGATTGGCGTGTTTCTCATACTTTGCTGCTTTTGGAACTTTGGCTCGGCCACCCTTATGCATGCCGGCATGAAGCGGCACAACAAATGCATTATATTGGCGGTGAGGTTTAATCTACCATGCAATATATGCGATCCCGGACCGGAACTCTTCAATTAGAGAAGCACTACACCGCCTTACAGTACAGCAGTAGAGGTAGAAACCGCGAGCAACCGTAAATACTGGAGATGATGAAAAAAAACTAACGAACGATGGGCTCCTCGGAGAACGTACTATTTTCCAAACAAGCAACGTTGTTATGTAAATAGCCGGCCCTGACGGGGACGCGTCAGAAGTTGCACTATTGATGTTGACAGTGGGGGGTGGTCCGTTCAAGCTGTCTCCAAACGTGGCTGTAGGCTGGTGATATTCGCATGTGCAGACATACATGCCATCCTTTCTCGCCTGCAAGTTATTCTTCAGACGAGTTCCTGATACGTTGCGTCTTAACTTTCGTGGACCATTGTCGAAACGTCAGGCGTTGCTACTGGACTTTTTCCTCGCGGGCATCCAGCTTACACTTGGGGGCACCATGTACTCGCGAACCCTGCCGGAGTACGATGAATCTTTCCAACTAGACTGCCTTCTCAAGGTACAGACGGTGCCTGTTCAGAGCATCCCCATTTACGTAGATACAACGATGCATGTAGCGTTGTAGCGTTGGCAATAGGCCAGCGCACGTGATGACAAAATCTGTCGGAGTTCGATCAATTCTGGTATGCTGGACTGCAGTCTCAACGCAACATGTACCTACCGCATGGCTTGCAGATCTCGATACATACATTTTCTTGAGTAGGTTCTTTCTCGAGAATTCTTGACACGCAGTCGTTCTGAACGTCAACATTTATTGTCTTTTCTGTTGGTGTTTCTGGTGGAAACGTTGGATATTTGGGGCTTGCCAATCGTCTCCCATATCAGAAGAATCTAGGCGCTTGCACACGATCCGTATCTTGTTTAAACACCGCCGATCGCGACAGCGAAGGAGCACACAGGCCGGTCCGTTTTTTCTCTGCATGTGTCGTGCATTGAATGAGTGAGGGTGCGACACACGTCTCATGACGGCCTCAACGCAAACCCCGGCCTCGCTGTCAAGGCACGCTGCCTGTCTGCCTGCCCGGCCTAGAGCTAACGAAATTGCCGCCGGCCTTACATCATCAACACACGACAGGAGCCCGTGGTGAACTCTCCGGACGATTGTCTGGGATACATTCGTTCCGACCGTTACGCTGGCATGATGCTGGTGTGGAGGTCCTACGTCTACCTGTCCCTCGACTACACCAAGTACTACCAGAGGCTGGTCACGATCGAGCAGGACGGGGTGTGCTGTGGCTTCGGGCCGCCAACGCGGTGCACGGTGAGATGGTGCTTGATGAAGGCCTCTTCCTTTTGTCTGTCCGCAGCGCGGCGGATTGTGGTCGCTGCTGCGCCTGTTCGTGGTGCGGAGGGGGTCGTGTTTCATTCAAACCGTCTTACTTCTTCAAAGTCAGCACGGAGCAACGTCGGGTTTATCGCAGACGAGGCGAGTTTTTTGGCCGAGCGCGAATCACACTATGACGTTGCGTGAGGCGCACGCGGGGGGGGGCTCGGAGGCGCGCCAGCGGTTACTATTGGTCTAGGTTTCAGGTGGCAACGACGTTTCCCTTTGGAAGTGAACAACGACAAGACAGACAACGTGAACGTGTGTGTGAGAAACGGATGTCGTGTCACATGCAAACCTTACGTTCCAGACGACGGAATTCACCGTTCGGACGCGTCTGTGTCGAGGCCAAGAAGGTCTCTTCGCTTCGGAAGCGACAGGGAGGCTACTGTTTTCCTTGGAGGGTTGCCCAACGAGTTCTTATTGCGAATGTATCTTCTCTTGGTCGACCCGTCTCACATGGGTGTACAGGGGCGAGCATACTTTGTGCTTCGACGCCACGACAGCGTACCTTACTTGAGGGCTACGAGACACCACATGATTTTGAGCAAAAACACAAAACTCGCGCTGGTGTCTGCGGGGACTGATTGCTGTCGCAGGGGGATGCTCGAGACTTTCCGAGCTATTTCAGTGAGAACCAGGTCGGGTTCGGCACAGATAGGAGATACGTTTGCGGCGCAGAGGTGAGAAAGAGGAGCGGTAACGGCTGTCTATCTTTGGTGTCTGTACAGCAATTGTGTTGTCAGTTTTGGCTATGGCCGCAATTCTGCCTCCTTTGTTGCTGAAACAGCCGCATCAAGAGAACGTCTATCGTGTCAACGCATGTCTTCCGATTTTGGTGCCAACCAGCAAATTCCTCGCCCTCGCCCTTGCACCATCAAGAGGTCAGCACCCGTGCTTGTCTCCCCCCCTCCCTCCGTCTCAAACGTCCACATCCCAGGATGATTGGTACGATTCGAATTATTTTTGCTCCCAATATGTGGACGAAACGGCGGTATTTCTTGAGATTGGCGGGTGCAAGTACGACTATCCGATGGGCCAATGCATGGACATCGATGTGGACGTCTTAGAAGGCGCGAGGGGGTGCGCGTTCGAGCTTGAGATGCACATGACCAACAAGGTTCGTCGAGATAAATCGAGCATGCTCGCACACCATTGGGGGGGTGGAAATATTCGATATGGGTGGACATATTCGATACGCACCAGCAGCAGCACGATCGTTTGGAAGTGCAAGCACGCCTCGCGATGGAGGATGAGTCGATTTCGCGACCGCAGGGGATCTAGGTGATTAAGTGTGCTTTGTCAGTCGGGCGACGAAAGTTAACAAGGCGTGCGATCATTCTGGTCTCTGCGGGACGTTCTTGATTAAATACGTGCGATTTTTGGCTGCAGAAGAAGTCCTACAAGTACTTCGCCGCGCCGTCGACTTCCTTGAAGCCGATGAAATCATCGTTGTTCTCACACAACCTTTGGAAAAAACGAGCAGGTGATTGTCCACGCCTTCTTCATCATGGGTCTGTCCGCCCTCATGTTCGCGTCGATGCTGTCGGGATGCTGCATGTTCTGGAAGAGGGCATACGACGACTCCATGCCAGACCACGTCGACAGGTAAGGTCCTTCGACGAAAGTATTCCAGCTGCGAACATATGTGATGGACTGTGCTTGCAGAAGTATGGTACACCGCAGCAAATGCATCATCACCATGACCGGGGAAACCTTGTCGCCTCTACCGCCCGCTATGTGCGCCTTTGCCCGCGGGACCTATGGTCGCACATGCCTTGAACATCACGTTTCGTTTGAGAACTGCGGAAACTTTCTTGCGCGCCTCTCGTCGTAGCCACGTCCCGTGGGACCCATTCAAGAACAAGGATCTCCTCGGCGAGAACAAGGGGACCAAGTCAAAGCGCGCGGGGCGAGAGGGAGGGCCCGCCGCAACGCTGGATCCGCTCGGGGTGCTCATCATGGGGAAGATGCCGGGAGTCAACGAGGGAAAGATCATACCAATGTAACTAAGTGATACCTCCAGCGGACAGGGCGGTGCGCCGATTCAAGAGGCAGTCCCTCGTGTCGAAAGCGGCGGGCTCATCCAGTCTGCTAGTCTACAGACGTGTGCGGGCGCAACGTCAATTTAGTTCTCGTTTGGCGGGGGTACATAGAGAAAGGAGAAGATGGTAGCAGCATATAATACGTAGTGCTCTCGCCTCTCCTCCCGGGCGCCTGCGTACGTACGTAGACTCGCGCCCCGCGGTGTAAACAACAACCAATCTGAAAAAATCCAACTCTCGAGGCGTTTTTGGCGCGGGGTTGGTAGCAGATGAGTCTGGTCCTTCAGCACATTTGAAGCCCGACCTTTCCCTTGCTGGGATGCCCTATGATGCACGCCTCTAGCTCGCTTGTGAGGACTTGCACAAAGACCGACTGCGCAATATTGCCGCGCGAAAAAAACGATGGTTCAGAGCAGCATCAATACGGGTGCGTGCAACTACAAGACCCAGGGTCACCTCACTGAGTAGACCAAGCCAGCCTTAGCCTTCCACCACATCCGATGATACTGTTATTAGAACACTAGATCGTCGTCGAACAACTACTAATGGTATTACATTTGGGCCAACATACACGAAGGCACCGTGCACAATCTTCACACCGAAAAAAACGGAAAAGAATCGGAACATTGCCGGGTGAAACACCACACAGGAACACGACGATCAGCACACAGGTCCGCCCGCCCTCCGGTCTGCTGCATTCACCGTCCACGTAGTAAAAGCGATCCAGAGCCTACGCCTACCATCAACAACCACGCGATGACCTAGCAGCTCTAGCTCTAGCTAACACAGCCGCGCCAGAAAATAACAAGCCAACGCCATACCGACCCAGTGGTGCCTCTAACCCTGCCGCTCCTTTCCCCCCAAACAAAAATGAACAGACAACAAACAGCCCGCCCGACGACACGCCTTCCACAGAGCGAAACACCATCGCGCCTGGGGGCGATACACACTTGGTCGCTCCACGGCTCCTAGTCCCTCAATGCCGAGGCTCTCAAACCATCGGTAACTTGTAGGTCGGCACGTCGTGGGCAGACACACACAAACGCAAAGGGCGCATAGCGCCAGGAGTGACATTCGGGGTTGGCTGGTATCGCTCAAAAACGACACGCGACAGCCTCCCGCTCCGATCAAACGGCAACAGCAAGCAATCGTTATCTCCACAGCCGCGTCTCGTACTATGTGGTGGGAACGGAGCAGCTGAAACGCAGCCAAAAGAGGAGTCCCAAGAGGGCTTCCGAAAAGAGACTGGCGCATCCCACGCATCTTGAACATCACACTTGACGACCGGAGGACACTTTTTTTAAGCAATGGGGGCAGAGACCTAGGCCCCGTCAAAGGCCGTATGTACCACCTCGTCCACGCTTATCAAACCACTTCTCTCAAGCACACATCTCCGGCCTTTTTGGAGGTGTAAAACAAACAAGACAGCCCGCCGCGTTTCGGGCAGATAAAAAGCCATGGTACTGCAAGGCTTCAACACGGCGAGACAACCATCGGTGGAGCCTTCCAAAATACAACTAAAACAAACCTAAAACTCCACACACACGCACAACGCCATTGATGAAACACGCACAAGTGCTGAACAAAACAACGTTTCAATCTCGACCTTCTTCGAGCTGAGTTCGCTTGCCGTCAAGGACACGGTTACTTCTTGTTCGCCAAACTGTTTGTACATCGCGGGCTCCCGCCCACATCAAGCTGCAACCGAGCAGCACTGCGTGAAGCAAAAACAACGCCACACCGTACCCCCGTCCTCGCGGCTTCTCCCATCCTAACGCCCCCTCCGAAACACAGAAATCTGGACCGCAAAAAATAAAAAATAAACACACACACATACACACACACACAAACGCCACGCTTGCCCGGCCCGGTATTTGCTCGCTTCACGGGCCGCCCAACTCCTGCTGCGACGGCCAAGGTCTCCCGAGTCCCCTCCGCAGCCTCTGAACGAACACCACGGCCAGCACCAGGGCCTTCAACCTGACCCTCCCTCGCCGCCCCAACCCGAGCGTGGTGACCATCATCCCCTCCGTCCCCGTCAGCCACGGGTGTTCCAGCAACTCCCCCGCGGTCCACCTCTGCGCGGGATCCACCACCAGCATCCTCCGGACCAAGTCCTGGGCGGGAGCGGAGACCCCGCGCCACTCGGACCCCGCGTACGAGCAGGCGCCGTCCAGCACCGCCGTGTAGAGCTTGTCGAGGGTAAGGCCCCGGAAGGGGAGGGCGCCGGACAGGAGGCAGAAGGCGGTGACCCCGGCCGACCAGACGTCCGCCCGGCCGTCGAACGGCTGCTGGAGGAGGACCTCCGGCGCGATGTACTCGGGGGTGCCGACGGCGATCATCGGTGGGGGGGAGGGGTCCAGCCTGAGGGCGAACCCGAAGTCCGCGAGCTTGCCGGAGTGCATGACCCCGTTGTCCATGACGAGGATATTCTCCGGCTGGTAGGTGGCGTGCGGGGGGGGGCGGGGGCGGGGGCGGGCAGAGGCGAGGCAACTGAGCATTGCGCGAGCAGGAGACAACCGGCGTCGGGCAAGGTTTCTCTCTAGGATTGTGTTTCGTTACTGCTGTTCTCCCTGGAATTGCTTACCAACCCACGCAGCAGAAAGCAAGGACACCATATGGCATTGTACCACATCACACCCACGAGCATATGTCTCCTTTCTGTTTACTCGCGGGTGCGTCTCCCGTTTGCCCCCCCGATCTCGGTCTTACCTCCGCCAACAATGACGCCTTCCCCTCTACGACGAGCTGCATCGAACGGCCCACACCATGTTAACCAAGACAGAAAGGCCGACGTCTGCTCACTGGTCATTCAGCTCGCGCGCAGTCGATGGTCAATCAACAAACGCTCACATGAAAGCAAGCACACCGCTGTGCAACGCAAGAAGCATGACTCACCTTGATGTCTCGATGTACGATTCGTCTGCGGTGGAGAAAGCCGCACGCCTCCAGCAACCTCCTGAGAAGTAACCGCACCTTTCCCCCCAGGTCAGTCAATGGAGGTACACAACCAACGACGACGGCACAAGAGGCAATATTCAACACTGCGTGGCCCTTTAGACAAGCGACAACCTGAGCTCTCCGGCGACAAGGAGAAGACGACGGCCTGAGTGGCAAAGGTACTCGTGTAGCAAAATACAGTCTGCAGATCTGTAGTGAGGGGGATATGGCTCTGTTCAATCCAAAGGCGAAGACAACGGCAAATCGCATCGGCGACGCGCAACCTTCTGTCGGGATCAATCCAACCAAGTCTCACTAACAAGACAAAACGGATAAACCGCTTGAAAACCACCGGCAGCGATCTAACCCGGTCCCAGCAACGAAAACTCAAATGCCTGAAAAATGCCGCGCTAACATTGCCACCAGATCTCCCTCCACCAACTCAAGACGCCACACACCTCTCCCTCCGTCCCCATGCTCGCGCGCGAGTGCAAGTGGTCGAGCAAGCTGCCCCCGTGGGCGAGCTCCTCCACGATGTAACACGCCTCCGGGTCTTCGAAAACCCCCAACAGGTCCACCACGAAGGGGTGCCCCGAAACCTCCTGGTGGACCGAGATCTCCTCCCGCAGGAAGGCGAGGTGGCGCCGGTCCCTGTCCAGCCAACCCCCGGTGTCGGTGTTGACGGCCTTAACCGCCACCTCTCGCCCGGTGGCCCGCTCCACGGCCCGAAAAACTTGGGAGTGACTGCCGGTGCCTGTGTGGGGGCGGGCGTGGGGAACAGCAGCAGTGTTGCGGTGCAGTAAATACGACAATTTTGTGGGGGGTAAACGGCAACGGTGGTATTGTAGCATGGTTTCGACGAGGACTAACCCGTAGTCGCCGTCTGGTGACCCGTCTTACACCTAAGTAACCGGGAACACCGCCAAATCAGAGTTTGTACCGTCTGGTGACCCGTCTTACCACCTAAGTAACCGGGAACACCGCCAAATCAGAGTTTGTACCGGGGGGGTCTGCGTGGTGGACAGTCCTGTTCGTCGTAGGCTCGTTGAAGAAGTTGGCCGTGATTGCCTCACTTCCCTCCCTCGACGATGGCCGTCACTTTTCTCATCGTCAGGTTACCGCGCACAAACACAAACACAAACACAAGCAGGAAGAACGAGCGAACAAATATAGCGAGCCAACTGCCCACTACATAACACAACCCGTACCGCATGTTACTTGTAACCATTCTAGAATCCTGTCTCACGAGAGGGTGAATTTAGGTGCGTTCTGCACCGCACACACCGTACAAGAACCTTGGACGAATGTGGGGACAACCGATAGTTGACGTAAGCGACAGGGTACCAGATGTACCGGCACCAGTGCCATTACCATTACCATTACCATTGTGGGAGCGCTTGGAGGCGGAGGGTTTCTTGTCAGCACGCTCATCAGCCATCGGCCGCCCTACGAGCTTCGACATACTATTACAGCGGATGGTGGAATAACGAGGAGGCCGGCCCGTGCGAGATTGCCGACACGTCAGACTTCGAAACTGTAGGGGAAGGCATCGATTCGTTGATTTTAAAGTAACAAGAAAAGAAGGCCCGGAAGCAGCAACAAAGTGAGAGTTAGGCAACTCGTGGTGGGTCGATCACCAGTGTCTTGAGCGACGGGGCGTCCTCCACAACGCCTACCCTGCCATACGTTCTTCCAGACAACTTCAGCACGGTCGAAGGTAAGACTTACCTACGACCGTGCTCCAGTAGTCCGGAACGAAGTATGGGAGCCTTCAGGCGTCGTGGAGGACGTCCGACGGCAGCACAAACTATTTAACGTGGTTCGACCACCAAGGGTCTTGAGCGACGTGGCGTCGGGCGTCCCCCACAACGCCCACCCTCTCCCATACATTGTTCCAGAAAACTTGAGCGCGGTCGTAGGTAAGGCCGCCTCACCTACGCAATTGTGCTCACGTCTTCTGGAACTACGTATGGGAGCGTGGGCGTTGTGGAGGACGTCCGACGGCAGCACTTACGGCCGTGCTCAAATGGTCCGCCACCGTGAACGGCGTTGTGAAGGACGTCCGACGGCACGTCGCCCAAAACCCTGCCCGGTGATCGAACCGCGAGTTGCCCCAACTTTTGAAATGCCATACAGATTGTAGTTGCTGCTTACGGGTCTTTCGGATGCCTGCTCCCTATTCTCAAGTCTGATGTATGGTTCAGCCCGCACCCGACCTCCATCCGTTGTATTATGCCGACGCTCGTAGACCGTTAGCGGTCTTGCCAGACCCCATAAGATCATCGGAGCCTTTGGCCTTTGGGTTGAGAAAACCAAATAACCAAGCTGGTACACTATGAGCTCCCAACTACCGTCCGCAGACGACGCATAGGAGCACCACGGAGTAGTGAGGAGCAAGCACATCCCTGGTAATTACTCGACCGTCAGGATAGTCGTGGGGTGAGCGAAACCTGCAGACGCCGTGGTGGGAATGATGTTGCAGCTCTTCCTCTTGGTACAAGAGTCTCCTCTTCGGCCACCACCACATGTCAACAAACGCACGGACGGGTGTGTAGAGGAGGCTTGGCCAAGCCAGTCGCACGGCTCATCAGCGTCGAGGCAGTGAAACCGACTCCTTTTCAAGCGCCACTGGCGCCGTTCCGGTACAACCTGGACACAAACCACCGTCTCACGCATGTGCCATGATTTTGACCCCCTTTAGGGCTAGATCGACTCTTGGTTTTGGCCCATCCTCTTCACCTGTTTTAGCTCGCAAAGAACGGCATCACAGCAGTCTCCACGTTTGAGCACCTCGACAAGGGGAGTGCCGGGGTACACGGGGAGAACTATCGTCTAGTGCGGGTGCTTTGTAGAGGGGAAGAGTCAGAGGGAAACGACAGGGAGAATAGCGGAAGGATACCGCAGGTTCAACAGCGAAGGTGCGCCGTGTCTATCCATAAGCTTGGGTGGAAAGCGCTACCATGGGAAAATCCGGAATAAATACCTCGCCCAAGAATGAAAGGAGGCACCGGGCAACCTCAAGGTTGGGTTAGAAGGTCTCGCTTTATCTCTACAGGAATATCTTGAGAACCTCCTTTTCGTTCTCCGTTTACCACGCTCCCCCCGCCAGTTGTTGTCTGAAGTATCCGTCTCAAATGGCCCCTCGATAAGCGAGGAGCCGCTTGATGGGGATTTTAGAGTACGACGGGTTCGGTGGGGAATCAGCTTTGACTCTTGGCACCCAGGGCTTGAACTGTCCGCTTCATGCTATCAGCAGGCGTCTGTCTTTCGTTTTCTTACACGTTCCAGAAATTCCGAAGAACACCGACCTTTCTGAGCGCCCTAAAATTAACTTCTTCTCGGTTGATCACGAAAAACAGGAATCTACGGAGACGGTGAATGTGATCACCCTCCAAGGTTCCCGCAGCCAACGAGAAAAGTAGCGTAAGCAACATGATGAACTTTGCAATACTGCTGTAAGCCCGAGAGTTGGAAAAAATATGCGTACCACCTGCTATCCAAACAACCAGCCGTTTTCGGATCTCTTCAGTAAACTATTGTAGGCGAGACCGAAAGAACTGCGAGCATCAGATCATAGTCCAAAGGAAATTAAATATACAAAACTGCCGTAGCGGCACCTCCAGGCGCCTTCGTGTCTAGTAATGGCGCTTTGTTCGGGTGAGCGAGTGGCGACCATTCTCAGATTCTCAGAGCGAGTGTATAGCTGCTAGTCTTCTAGGAAAAGAGAAGAACACGAGTAGACGATAAAAAATCGAAGGACCGAGCACCCTCCAAGGTTCCCGCAGCCAACGAGAAAAGCAGCGTAAGCAACATGATGAACTTCGTAATACTGCTGTAAGCCCGAGAGCTGGAAAAAATATGAGTACCACCTGACGGGACATGTTGACATGTTTCGGCTACGCGATTAACTGGGGCAGGCCGATGAGTTCAAGCTCACAGAGTAGGCGAACATCTATCGTTGTGTGGTGGACCGTTGAAATTTTACCGAACCAATCAAATATCACCGAAGACATGCTCCCAGCCTTTTCTCGCCCATATTCTCACCGATCCGACCCTGCAGCATGTAGAGCTGTCGAAACGTCTTGTGCTCGTTGTTGTCGCCATCACAGCCCACCCCGCCGCCGCTAGCGAGAATCCCGCCGCTTCGGCGAAGAAGGCGAGGCAAGATTCTCTCCTCTCCAGCAGATGCCCCGGGTTGTCTTCCAACCTCATTTCCCATCAAAAATCGCATGTACGGCAGCAAGGACCGGTGTATCCGACAGCGTGCCCCATAGGCGGCAGCACGTGTGTATGCTCGCCGCTCACGCGGTGCTCGTCCGTTCCCCGGGCTTGCTTGAACATGGGGGCAGCGCAAACTGAGAGACGTAGGTAGGATTGCATTTCACGGCGCCCCTCTCAACGAGGTGAGGTGCTGTTCTGTGTTGGTTGTTGTCTGCCGGACACATGCGAGCGAGAGACGTACGCTCTCTACTTCACTTTCCTTTCCTTCTTGATCCAACAACACGTTCGATCCGATGGCGGACGATGATGAAATTAAGTCCTACGTCGATGCCTTCGTCAAAAAAGGCAAGTCAATTAGGTAGACTAAAAGTAAACACTTGCTCCTGCTTTTTTTGTGCGGCTAGACTACGACAGCAGTCTGCTGCGTTGCATATACATCCAACGTTCAGAGGGGAGGGGCGGAGCACTTTGAGAAATACTCGGAGTACATCAATGGTGAAAGGCGCGTGCCAATTTTTGTGCTGTACACAACAGCGCCAAAATGGCGTGTGATTAATTTGCTAAGAAGCTCGTTCTCAACACCAAACACGAACAAATGCAAAGTGCAATGTGATATATCTGTGCGCATTAGTCTCGACTGCTGTTGCTGCTGTACATCATGCAACAACCAGGTGAATGACCCTCCTCTGTGCATGTCGGCGGACGTGTGACCAAGCCCGCTTTGGTACGGAACAGGCGGCACGTTTCATGCGTAAATAGTAAACACCGCTCTCGCAGCTGCGCCTAGGCAATGCTTCATGGGTCCTGCAACGACTTCCACTTATAGTAGGCATCTTTCTAGACCGTATGCTAAGCGGGACACAGCGACGAACTGAGCATACACACCTGGTAGGTCTATTTCGCTCCCTTGCTCCACAACCAAGAGGGTTGCCAATGCCGAAAAAGGGTTGTGTTGGAAAATATGTGATCGGGAGCTTCCCTTGCACGTTCCGATCGGTTTTCGCACCCTCTTGGTTGTGGAAGCGAATGGGCATTGAGCGGCGATCTGCAATAGGGAGCTTGCAATCACTCGCACTCTCCCGGAATCTTCTTGGCCTAGGACCTACAGGCGGTATGCCACTCTCTAGCGCTTGCCTTTCCAGTTTTTCTCCGCGGCGGGACATGGAGACGCGCATGAGTACCCATGTTCAACAATCCCTTCCACGCCATTTCTTGTTGCCCCCGTCCGTCCCCCGCTAACACATCCACGTATGTACCCACTCTTCTTATCCCACGCCCCATTCGTCCAGACATGAAGGATCACCCAGACTGCCGCTACAGCTTGTCCTCCCAGAAGGAGTGCAGCAGCAACAACGGCAGCTTCTCCTGCGAGACCATCCGCCGAGTCTTCAGAAACTGCCCGGGGTTGCGACCAGAGCAGGTCTACGATATCACGACGAGAGACACCGGCAACATACCCAAGTCGCCGGGGGGGAGCAGCAGCGGCGGCGGCGGCGGCGGTGGTGTATCCGTGCCAGGCACTAGAGCACCACAGCAACCACAGCAACCGGTGAGCCGTCCCAGGCCGTCGCGACTGATCCATGCCATGCGCACAGAAGTAGCTCGTCGCCTGTAGCCGCACATCCATTGGTGCGTTATGCGGTGTGTCTGCCGCCGTCTTGCGGCCTTCACGCTTCCGGTATTTTCGCGTCTGCGTTTTCGATGGCATGTCGACGGCGCTATTTAGCAGACCAAAACATCGATATGTTTCAGCGTCAGCCGAAAGAGAGCTTCTAAATAGTTCGCCGGGCTGCTGCGGAAGAGACTGAACGGCAGGGTCTAGCCTCGGCGTGTTGGTGTGCTGGTTTTCTTTGTTGACGTCGACAGCGCTTGTGCACAATCGAATGACAAAACACCCATGTTCGCGCGTGCTCTAACTCTCCACCTCTTCTCCTTTTGGCTCTTGTCTCAAAGCGTGGTGGAAGTCCGGCTTTCGGCCCCCAAGATATCTGGCCGCCTGGGAGAAGCGGTATGGAGGACTTGCTCGGGAACCTTCACGACAGACTCAACAGTGAGTCCCTTTTCATCGGCAGATCGTAGCATGACTATCGTTGTTGGGTAAACGTCGCAAGAGATGGTCAGGACAGCTGGGTGAATCTCTGTTATGGGGCATGAAAGGAGATTCGCCATGTGGTCGACCCCGAGTTTCGCGCTGCCAAGTCTGAAGACGTTGCAGAATTTGACCCTCTTAGGTACCAAGGTCGAAGCGCTGCTGCATGGACAAGTAATTGGCTAGAGCAGAGACCTTCTAAAGCCAGAAGGCCTTTCTTGACGATGATCGTAGCACAACTTCGCAAGTGCGATGTAAGTGTAGGATACAGCAGTATCTACCTTTCCTGCATACATCCTACACTACTACATCGCACTTGTGCCTATAAACTGTACTCCATTACACCCCCTTGATGGGTGCACGCATCATGTGTGTTATGTGTGATACACGATCGATGCGTGGACAGACGATTTGTTCCGTGTTTGCGCTTCCCGGTCCCTGTGCCCCCCCCCCCCCCCCCCCCCCCCCCCCCTCTCC